TTTTTGATAAGGGAAGTCATTTTAAGACTCTTCTAACGTGTATCTTTCTTTAACAAGCCAACTGTAGATCTCCATTGGAAATTGAAAAAGTCTCCATGCTTTTCGACCATGAGTTTGCCGTCCATTCGGCTTCAGGCATCACAGTAGCCATTCGAAGACCGCTTCAGAAAATTAATCAGAGAAAACGAGGATTACAAAATGGCGCTAACTTTGTGAGAAATGAGACATGGATCATAGCCAAATTACGAAACGAGAGTATAGTTACAGGTATTTCCACGCTTGGATACAATGACTCCAATAAGGAAGAATGGATCACAGATTATATGCTGATGTATTCTACCCTTTCTTTAAATGATCTTCGTTGTTTGATCCCGACGTCGTTTGTTTATTTGACAGAGTTCCTTCCAAGTCCACTCGCATTCTAATCCAGGGGCAGCTTCGTTTGTGCAGACAAGAGAAACTGGGAGCGAGACTTTGTCGTTCCCGTCAATCATTTTTTTGTTGCCATGGAAATTCCACATGTCACTCGGCCTGTAATTATTTGCAGTAATCCTTGAAGGAGACTCCTTCGGCTTTCAGTTAGATATTATGTGCAAATGAATAAGCATGGGGTTAAAGACCGAGTAGAGCTTTTGCCTCTTGACTTTGCTGTATGAGAGTCTCGCTGGCGTATTTTTCGAGCAGTTCCTGAAATGAATATGAGAACGTTAATAATGTTTATATAGAAAAAGGCACACGCAAACTGAATCTTCTAAATAAAAAAGTTGAGAGAATCAATGCCTTACCATTTTCTTTCTTTGAACGAGCATTTCCTCTACCTGAAAGAGCAAAACTTTGTTAAATTGGATAAACAACGGAAGAAAGAACTGAAATCAAAGCTGCTTCACGGTACGGCAATTGAAGACGAGGGACTGTCGAAGACGAAAGATTGCCGAAGACGAATGATAGCCGAAGACGGGATTGCCGAAGAGGGATTACCAAAGTCGAGAATTTGCCGAAGACAAAGCATCGTCGAAGACGACGGTAGTTGTAATAAACACAATAAAGTCCTGAATTGAAAAGAAAAATGCTAAAATAAAATTCAAGCTAGTGGTCAAACCTCTTTTTGTGACGGTACAGGAACATGAGCAACAAATGGTTGATTTCCTTCCTCAGTTTGGTCTGTTTCCATGTCTTCATCGCTCTCCTGTAAAGAAAAAGGGGTATATATTAAATAAATAATTAAAAAGGTAAAGTCATAACTAAGTGCATAGTGAAATGAAAGAATAAACGAGAGTTAATAGACCACTTTCATAAATGGCTGCCGTATAAATATTCTTTTGCAGTAAATGGCTTGAACCCGGGGGTAACATGTGAAGGTGTAGTCTGATCGTCCGGGTGAACTGCCATGCAACAGGCAATGAAAATTATTAACTAGTAAATGGGACTCGTATAGTAGAAATATTTCTTCATGGAGTGGGAAGCGCGGGGAAAAAGTTTCTTCTTGCTTCAATACCTTCCATACTGTTTTTCCCATATCCCCACTGTGTTTTATTTAAAATGACATTTCTCATGCCAAGTAGATGCTTTGGATTCGCGCTTTTCGGCCATTTGAGTTAAGAGATTTGTCGGTTTTTGATGAAGTTGAAAGAAATTAGCACCCTCGGGAGAGGCAGTCACGGGCTCCCAGTGTCCCTCTGACTATGCCCCTGCACATTGTTTTGATGCATGAGTAAATTCCTATAACGAGCCGATAGACATGTATGGTCACCAATTGGGAGAGTTCGCTTTATGAGAAAAGAAGGGAATGGATTTTCTCCCATACACCTTGGCAATAGAGACCTTAAGATTGAGGTTTGGCCATCGAACCGCAAACGGCAAACCGCGGTTTACCATTAGCGGTTTCACGTTAGCCGTCTGTCCATAATTGGGACTTAAGATTCGTGGGTGGTATGGTTGCTGCCCGAGGTGATGTGTGGATCAATGTGTTTGTTGGATTTTATTGATTACTTAATGAGAGCAGAACACTAAATCTTTGATCCTCTTTAAATTGAGCAAGACTACAAAGATCTGCTAGACATTATGCGGCTGGACGAGAGTAGTTCTGAAGGTTCGTTGTCGAGCAATGAAGATCTCGATTTCTTATTTCTTGAAGCAGCTTTGCATGCTTGGCCATCTGAACAAAGCCACGGCTAAGGAAACAAAATAAGCATTCATGTATTCACATATCATCGAAAATTGGCTTTTGTTTACCCTNTCCGACTGCCAAGCCTCCTACATCGGTGAGACTGGCAGAAACCTCACAACAAGACTGACTGGACACAGACGGGCGACGAGGAAAGGTGATGTCAGCAATCACATTGCTGAACACCATCGACTTACCAACCACAACATTGACTGGGACTCTGCGCACTGTTTTCAACGACTGCGGACTATTTTCAACGACTGCGGACTATTTTCAACGACCTTCTCAGGACTACACTCACCCGGACATCAGACTACACCTTCAAATATTCTTTTGTTTAAATTTAAATTAGCCCTACTGGCCTCGCTTGAGATAATGTATTCTTTTGAATTTTGTTCTGGAGAACGAGGCCAGTAGGGTTAAGTTAAATTTAAAGAAAAGAATATTAATCCGGTAGCCATTTATGAAAGTGGTCTATATAGTTGTCAATCTTTGCACAAAAGCGTGACCACTGAACCGCCTTTCGTTTGATTGTCGTAAAATAAAAACTAATTAACAATTATTCGCCTCAGGTTCGGTGAATATCGTCGAATAATCCCCGAGACGAAGTCGAGGGGATAATTCGACAATATTCACCGAACCTGAGGCGAATAATTGTTTTAGTATAAATTCAGAGCTGAACAACAGAGAAATTTCTAAAATCATAACATTTTAGTAACATTTATTGACATTTTATTTCAACATTTTACATAAACTACGTGGAGCGGTTTATATAGCGTCATATAAGGAACCGCTCGACCAATCAGATTGCTGGAAACTCTTTGCTCAGCTCTGATATTATACTAAATAGTAATATCAACTTCCAACCGGAAAGATGGAGAATATCGTGAGAGCCATGAGAACTATGATAAACGGGCTGAATCGAAAGGAAACGAAAGTGACCAGGAACCAATAAAATAATTGAAACTAAACACGAGCTGCCAAAAGCGCCGGAAAACTTGAGCAACTCAAACGCGCTTGCCTTAAGTTTTGTGTCTGATTGGTTAAAATGATGGCAAGGGCTCTCAAGATCGATCGCAGAGGATACCGAAGCAAAACCAACACGATATAGGATTAATTCAGCAGTTTTCAAACACAAGTATCTAAAGTGGACACTGGATTGCTTCTTTCTGTGGTTGGTCGAGAAAACCCCCGCCACCAATCCCAACTTGGTCACACGCGTTTTCCCGCGCTTCGACCAGGTTGTCCGCTTCAACGTTGAGCTCTCACTGGTTAATGATGATGTCAACTTTTGTTTCGATTGGCCGTCGTGATTTCTTTCCGTTTTGCTTTTAAGACACTCGATCGAAAACTGCTCTATCAAACAATCAATTCAAAATTGATATGTTTTTTTTTTGTTGTTGTTTTTTTTTTTATGCAGGAATACGTCTGACTCACCTCTTGTTCTTTTGTGACAGCATATATGTTTTCTTCCTCTTGATCTTGTTCAGTTACCAGTTCTCCTGCTTCTTTCTTTCGCTCCCATTCGTCCAATGCTCGGGCAATGGCTTTTGAAAACGAAAAAAAAAAAAAAAGGAAAAGAAATGAAAAGAAGAAGTTTAGATGTTCTATGTTTACCATGGCGCTTAAAAAGACTATAAATTTTCCTGGAGGCGAAGCTTTTTAACACTTTAACTCCCATGGGAGACCAAGACATGTTCCTCCTTGCATGTTAAATACAAAATCAAGCAGATTAAGTGACGAGAATAAAGACAATTATAACCCACCCATTAATTTTGGCGCGATTTTATTGGTTACTTTACGTCACGTGGTACAAAATCGCAGGACAGTTATCACGTAATAACCCCCGTCCGCGTCGATATTTTTCCTCCGATTTTTTCGGTGAAAAAGAAACATAGTCAACACAAGAGTTTCGACTTTTCCGTTCTCCTATTTACATGGAAGGAAACCAAACTCATTTTTGGTTTTCTTTTTTGCTTGCTTGCGTCAATCACGCGCATTCGCCATCAGATCACCACTGGCTTTTTTATTGTGTTTACGCGCAGTTTAATTGCG